AAAACTAGTTTCTAGCAAGTGAAGAGTATTAAAAATAATATATCAGCTAGTCAAGGTTTGTTAAGAGAATTTTTTTTCATATATAACTCGATGACGTACCACAATTGGTACTCTACTTCGTTTTATTAATGTCAATAAGGCAATTATTGCCCTGAATAGTGCGGGCAGGCATCTCGCACTAATATATTGCATACATATATATATAGCTTGAACGAAGTTACTTACTTCCAAGTTCGCAGTGATGAATAAGTGCTCATCAATTAAATTAAAAAAAATTTTCAAACCATTTAACATGAATAAAATTCGATTTTTTTTTCCTCTTGTAAATTTATTTAGATTAATTTTTTTTTCTCCCATTTACACTTACAATAAAAAATACGCAATAGTAAAATGTAAATTGCGAAGAAAATTAATCTAATTATATATGAAATTAAAAAAAAAAAATTAGAACGATAAAGATTAATAAATCAAAATTATGATTATTAATAATAATAATAAATTGTGTGATGTGAAATTATCATTTGAAAAGAGAAAACTCATGAGAAACTCCAACCCTTCACTATACTATATCGCTGATAAAAAAGGGGTGGGGGGAGGTTAGGGGCAATAATATATTGGAAAGAGGGGTTTCTCCAGTCTTCACTAAGCAATATCCATTCACTCCACATGCCTGCCTACTTCTTCATATTATCGATGTGTACAGGCGAGCTCTCAGCAATTTATTTATTACCGTTCCGGACTCACTATTATTGCATTTTTCAAAATTATTTGTACGAACTCGCACAGATCCTCGTTGTGACTGACGTCGACACTCCCCGAATGGAATCTAATAAATCAAGTGAGACTCCATAATTAAAAACCAACGATATTAAATATATTTTCATCATTCGCAATCCATTTTATATATATATATATATATATATATATATTAAACAAGATTAATAATGATTCTTTAGAAATTTTTTTTCAAACATTTTATTTTAATATACCGCGTGACGCAAAAATATCTAAATCTACCTAAGATTATTTAAAATTATATATAAAAAAATAAATTTAAACTATATGATTTTTAAAACTTAAAAAAAAAATTTACTTGATGTTTAAAAATGAAAAAAAAAAAAAAAATTTTTTTTTCGAGGAAAATGTGATAAAAAATTTGTCGACATGGTTGTATAAAATGAAAAGCTTTTTTTTTCAAGAGCAATCCCCATAGCTCCTTTAAAAAGCCATAGTATAAGTAACTTGACGCGACGAAATGTGTGAATTCGTGCATGACCAGAGTAGATGGCAACTATGGCAACTCGAGCAAAGAAGACAGAATAGAAAGAGAGTTCGTAAAAAATTCACGGAGTGAATAAATCAAGGATCGTCGCACGAATCTACTCTCTGCTCTTAGTTTAAGTATTCGGAGTGGCCTTCCATTTCTTTGTATATATATATGTGTGTGTGTATATATATGCATTTTATCTCGTAGAGCGTGTTAATGGTATATACAAAAATCTTTCAAACAATAATACTTTTAGTGTGATATGTAGTCAAATAATATTTATTTAAATATAAACCTTATTTATCTTATTGACTTATTTTTAAAGTTTGAGGATCAGGTATAGAAATTTTGGAGTTTGCTTCCACTTCTCATGAATTTTGCTTTTTTTTTTTTTGGTATGAAAGTGAGAAAAAAATAAAACTACTCTGCAAATCTGTATTAGTTATTTTTAAATAATTTAATTGTGCCTATTTGTTCGCTAAATTAATTAGTAACAGTTTTAACTAATTTTTAGTCAAAAGTGACTAATTTTTAGTATAAAACTACTAATAGTAACTACTATTAATATTAAACTACTAATTCATTTAGTGGGGCTACTATTTCAGTTAGTATGGCTACTATTTCAGTTAGTAAGGCTAATATTTCAATTAGTAAGGATAATATTTCAATTAGTAAACTTTAAGAACTGAATTAGTAATTTTCTATTTACAATTAGTCATTTTCTACTAACAATTAGCCAGTTTTGACTAAAAATTAGTTAAAACGGTTACTAATTTAATTAATAATGAATCGGCGCGATTAAAATATTTAAAACTAATACAGATGGTTATGTTAGGTTAAGTTAGTTGAAGTTAGGTAAAATTAAGTTAATTTAGGTTAGGTTGGCTGAGGTTAGGTTATATTTGGTTAAGTTCGATTAGGTTAAGTTAGTTAAAGTCGGGTTAGGTTAAGGTAACTGAGATTAGTTTGCAGTAGGTTAAGTATTGTTAGGTAGTTGAGGTTAGGTTATACTTGGTTAAGTTCGACTAGGTTAAGTTAACTAAGGTTAGGTTGAGTTAAGTTAAATGAGGTTAGGTTACATTTGGTTAAGTTAGATTAGTTAGTAAAGGTTTGGTTAGGATAAGTTAGTTAAGATTTTCCTACACTACTTTAGTATACTGTTAGTTAAGTGGTTAAGTTAGCTAAGGTTAGGTTATGTTAGTTAAAATTTCAGATATATTTTACTTTTGCTATAAAAATATATTCAAAATTTTTGCAATTTATTCTTATTTTTAGTAATTATAGCCGCGTTTATTTGAACTGTAAATAAAAGAATATTTTTTTTACTATTATGACTAAATAAATAATACTTTTAACTATATTTTGTTTATTTTTTTATGAAAATATCATTTTTCTTGCTCTAAATAGAAAATAGCAGAGGATAGTTTGTTTCAATTTTCTCCAGAAATTTACATCACGGCATTTTATGTCTACTCTCTCTCTCTCTCTCTCTTATATTATTATATGAAGAAATTTTTAATATGTAACCCTCTTCAGAAAACGGAGCTTATATATATACGAAGTATCTTTCGAAAGTAAAATAAAAAAAAAGTATTGTTCTCTCTTTATAGTCATTTTTTATTATATATAATATATATAATATATTTGGTAATTCTTAACTTAAGAATATATAATTGTTATTTAGAATATATTTCTTTCTAGTGTATTTTAAAAGATATTTTATATATTTTATCTTTTATATATTTTATATTTTTTGATTACTCGAAGAAAGGTGTTTTAAAATAATATAATTTGCGGAAGTGGTTTAATAAATAAAGTAAGTAAATAAATAAAACGTGGACAATAAAAAAAAAAAAAAAAAAAAATATGACAGATTGTCGTATATTCTTTTAAAGTGGATGGTATTTATATATATTTGTCGGTGAGAGTATCAAGATAGATCTAACACAGCTTGTGTGTGTGTGTATGTATATATATGTATCTCGCGAAATGCATGTAAGTGAAGAGAGTATGGGTGAGAGTGGTGCGGGTCAGAGGTTAGGGAGTTAGAGGGGATGGCAGCTCATCTTGTAATGGACTCAGGAGACAGTCGAGTTGGCTAATGGACCCTGCTTTTCCCAGAAAGTCTCTTAGTATCTGTGCCACGCTAGTATCGATGCCATCGGATTCCAGGCTCTATTTCGAAATCTATGAGTGGCTGCATGTAATGGCTTTTCTGCATTGAGAGATTGAAAATCCCTTTTATAAATCATCTTCTTTCTTATTATATATATATATATATATATATATATATATCAAAAAAGATTTTTCTCTCACTGAAAATGGTGCATTACCATAAAATCTATGGCAATATTTCGAATATCATTATACTATAAATGCAGATATAGTTCGCGAGGTTTTATTTCATGTTGCAATTTATTAAATAGTAATTTAGTTAGCGATATAATATTTTTTGCATTTTTATCTGGAACAGCGATACGTATCACTAGAATAGAAAAAACTTTCTTTGTTTCAGTGAAACAAATCTCTATTCCAATGAAACTTATCGCTGTTTCAAATAAAGATTTCTATTTGAGAAAAATAAATTAAATAATTATACAAAAATTTACAATAAAATAGAAAATTTTCTAATTGGAAAAAAATATATTCAAGGTATTTCCCAATTAAAACGACAAAAAAAAAAAAATTGCGAATAAATGAAAATTTGATTCCATATAATTTCTATAGATTTTTAATATATATATATATATATATATATATATATAAATAGGAAAATAAATATTTATCGGAGCCTGAAGCCAATTGCAAAAGTGTGGTATATAAAAGGTTTTGATATTGAGACGCAAGAAAATATATTTACGAAAATTTGATGGCAAAGTTGGCTGCTCGGACAATTCTTGATATTGATATCTGGAAGGTTTTCTCTGTCACAGGAAGTAACAGGAAGAGAGCTTGGTCCTTCGTTTCGGGACTTTAGTAGTGAGAGCCTTTTCATCTCTCTCTCTCTCTCTTTCTCTCTTTATTCGCAGGATGCGAAACCCCCTTTCAGTTCCATTTCGTGTACCATTCTCTCTCTCTCTCGTACTCGTATGAACTCAGCTTTCTCGAGATTTATTATGCATGGGGCTGATGTATCGGACATCAGACGTACGAGGTCGGTGGACTGGGATAGTACGCTGGACCGAAAGGGAGGATACTCTCGAGAGTGGACCGGGAAAGGATGACGGGAGAGGATAAGAGCAAGATGGAATAAGGGACGAGCTAGAATGCTCTCTGACGTTAGCCTCTTTCCTTCTCTCTTTTACCTTCACTTACCAACCTCTGCCCCCCCCTTTTTTCCTTTTTTATTTTCTTTCTTTCTTTTTCTTCCCCTTTTTCCTCTCTCTCTCTCTATACTTTTACATCTTTCTCTCTCAGCATCACGATCGACCATCGGACTTATTACTTTGCGAGCGACGTTACGATAGATTGAAAGGAGCACCCTCAAGTCCCTTGACTTGACTTCTATGTTCACTTTATATTTTTATACACATTTCGTTCTAAAATGATCCACTATTTTTTTTTTTTCCACCACTTATATAATAATCGTCGGCAAACAAAAAGTGTCATAAATATAATTTCTAAGGTTAATTAAATTATTTAACAATACAGTAATAATAATAATAATAATAATTTTATTATATATTTTTATTGGCAAAATTGTGTTTTAAATTAAATTTTTTATTTGTTACAGATTGTTCTCTCCTAGAAGATTTTCAAAATACACACTGGATCATAGGACAATTGATGTAATGAAATATCAGGTATTTATTATTTATTTATCTAAACAAAAAAAAATGGTAAATAAGCAAAAAATAGTAAATAACAGTAAATAATTATTATAAAAATCAGTAATAAATAAAAGAATGAAAAATAAATGCAAAAAATAGTAAATGAATAAAAAAAAAAGATAAGTAAAATGAATTGAAAAAAATAATTAAACCCCCCCCCCCATTTAGTTTGGTAAATATCGCAGTAAAATCGTTTATTATTAAATTTAAAAAAAAAAGAGATTTATAATAAATAAAAAAAAAAAAAAAACAACAAGGGGGTGAAAAAAAAATCTTTTGAAATACGAATAAATAAATAAAAAAAGAATCGGAGGCCCGTTTAGTTTAATGCGCGTAATGATACTTCGTCGGTCTTTTCTTCGAGACACTCTACTTTCCAACAAGGCAGGAGAGTAGTATAAGTCGAGGACAAAGTAGACGGCGTACAGAAAACCTCCATTAAAGTCCCTAGAAGTGATTAGTACTCTACCTCTCTTCTCCTCCCTCCCTTTCTTCTCCCCCCTTTTCTTCCCCCCTCCCTCCCTCCATCACTTCGCCTCTCACCCTTGAATTCAACCCATTTCCCTTATTCTTTCACTATCTCTGTTTCTCTTTCTCTCTCTCTCTCTCTGTCTCTTGTCTGGCTCATGCTCCGAGAGTGCTAAGCCACCCGCACCATCAACAATCCTTGGAATAGTGGAGGCATTAGAATCGACTCACCTCTCTCTCTCTCTCTCTTTCTCTCTCTTGCGACTCAATGCTTCATGACTAATTCATAAATTGTTCTCCCCCATTCGGGTGCGCTTCCAGGCTTCCTATGTCGACTTATTTTCATTTAAAATACATCGTTATTACATTCTTCTATTGTTCTAATTAATATGAGAGAAAGAAAGAGAGAGAGAGAGAGAGAGAAAGAGAGAGTTTTGCAATCGTCGAGAGTACTTTTTTTCATTTGAAAAAGCAAAGTGGTTCGGATTTTTTTTTTTTTATCTTTATGATAGTTTTATTCTATTTTTCTTTTTTTCAAAAATTATTTCTTTGTCGTTAAATTAAAATTGAATTTTTCGCAAAAAGATAGAATTCTAATTATATTTGGTAAAATTTAATAATTAGTGAAATTATAAATTGTTATTATAAAATGGATTTTTGGTTTCTTATTATTTTTAAATTAAAAATAATTAATAATTAGTTTTTCTTTAGAAAAATTAAAATTTAGACTATATAATTTTTTGTTTATTTATTTAATAGAAATTAAATAATAATTAAATAATAATTAAATAATAATAAATAAAATTTGAAATACGCAAATTAATTTTAAATTATTGTATATTTTTTAATTTTAAAATTAAAATCTATGTAAAATTATATTAAACATGTATATTACAACTTGAAAAATTGTCTGATAAAATTTGAAATAAAAATTAAAATGTCAAAATTAAAGATTGAAACGAGGATTGAAATAAAATTTTAATAAAGAAATTAAATAAAATTTAAATAAAGAAATAATATCAAATTTCAATAAAATAAAAATATAGGTAGATGAATGTAAAATTAAAGAATAAAAAGAAACCAATGAAGATTAAAATTATAATTAAACTATATAATATTAAAAATTAATTTGAAGTAGAAATAAAAGTTGAATTAAAGTTAAATTAAAATTTAAATATATATAAATTAAAAATGTCGAATTAAAGATTAAAAGTAAAAAAATTACAAAATAAAAAAAAAAGAACATAAAATTTCAATAAAATTAAATTAAAAATATTATAAAATGAAATTGCTATATATATATAATATTTAAAATTATACTGTCAATTATTGAAAAAAAAAAGTGAATTATTAAAGGAAATTAATTTGGAGCGAATGAAAAACAAAATTTTATGATTTTTTACCTATTGAATAAATAAAAGAGTACAAAAATACTTTTAAATATTAAAGGTTACACATGTATAAATATAATTTACATATAACTAAATTAAAGAAATTAGAATATAATTAAAAAATATAATAATTTTTTAAACTCTAAAAAATAATAACTACGTAGCGTTTTTATTAGTATTAGTAAAGATAATAAAAAATAATAAACAGATAATAAATATAATAAAATAATAAATAAATAATAAAAAAAAATAATAATAAAAAACATAAAATAATGAAAATAATTAAATTACTATTTCTCAGCAATAAAAGAAAGTGATTAAATTCAAAAACGTAGTATTAATTAAATTTAAAGCAAATATGTGTGTGTGTGTGTCAATATGAAAATTGTGACATTTGTGTGTCAAAGGGAAAGAAAAAACATAATTTTTTTTCTTTTTGTTTTTTTTTTTTTTTAAATGAAATAAGTGAAGCAGAACACGCCACCGCCATTTCCTCCCATTTAATCAGTGCCTTTCCGTAAATCACTTAGTAATTAAAAGAGGCCATCGATAAAGGTGGCTGTGAGTGTACGGCCTAATCCATTTCGCGGACCTCTTCTACCTAACGGGCTCATATAGCCAAACGAAACGATGAAGGGGGTGGGGGGGGGTAGAAAAAAAGGTCGTAGCCTTTCTAATTTAATCTGGTGAATGATTCCGTGATTCTCGAACACGGCGGGCAACCCTTTCATTACTTAGTTCCCACCCTAGGGTCACCCTCTGTAGCGCAACTCTCTCTCTCTCTCTCTCTCTCTCTCTCTCTCTCTCTCTCTCTCTCTCTCTCTCTCTCTCTCTCTCTCTCTCTCTCTCTCTCTCTCTCTCTCTCTCTCTCTCTCTCTCTCTCTCTCTCTCTCTCTCTCTCTCTCTCTCTCTCTCTCTCTCTCTCTCTCTCTCTCTCTCTCTCTCCCCTCCCCCCAACGCTTCTGTTTTACCCCAAGAACCCCCCTACGCAACACTAAATCAGCGGCCAGTGTAATTTTTGTAATGGGAGGTGTGGCCTTGCACACAGGGATAGTCGGTACACTTTGGTGGGGTAAAATTTGCAGACAAGTGGGGATATTACCCCTCTCTTGCACAGGTTGGAGAAGTTTGACGGTTCGGTAGAAAGAGGGAGAGAGAGAGAAACAGAGAATGAGAGAAGGGATGGGGGAATAAAGGGGGTTAAATCCACAACGTTAAGAGCGCTCGTCTGTAGCTATTTCAACTTCCGGAACAAGTCGATTTGGCTCATGACTTCACTTGCGCTTTCTTAATTTACTCTGTATTCTCTATTTTTTTTTCTTTTTTGGTTCTATGATGAGAGAGAGAGAGAGGTGGGGGGATTTAATTTATTTTCATGAGAATTTTTCTTTTTTTTCTTTTATTTTTGTAGTATTTTAATACTTATTGTTTTGTAACATAATGATTGTTTAGATAATATGTCTTAATATTATTATTAACAATATTTAATTATTATTATTGTTATTGTTATTGTAATTGTCTTATTATTTTTCATAGAGGGGTGAAAAATTCTGCCCAATTAAATTTATCTCCATCTTTTCACGTTTTTTTTTTTTTAAACTTTGTTTAATATATTTTGTCTTAGTAATTTACTACTGTTTAGTATTGTTAACTACTAGTAATTAGGTTTTTTGTTTTAAATATTTAGTAACTTGTTACAAATGTAGAATTTTTTTTTTTAATTTTATAATTTATTTATTTAATAAATTAAATAAAAATTAAATGTTTCTTACAATATTTAGTAATTTTTTTTTTTTATCAACATCTATAGTGAATTTTATACAATGATTTAATAAATTGTTACACTGAAAAAAGGGTTTGGTATTGACAAACAAACGTTTGGTTTGGTATTTAAGCAACCAAATTGTTTTTTTGTTGAATCAACAAAATTTTAATTGTCTCAATCAAAATTTGTTTGACACAACTAAAATTAGAAAAAAAGGATTTTTGTTGTCCTAACTATAAAGTTTGATTGGGACAACCAAAATTTTGTTGATTGAATAAAAAAAAATTTTAGTTGCTAAAATAACAACCAAATGTTTGGTTGTTAATACCAAACCTTTTTTTCAGTGTATGCTAATATTTAGTAGTTCAGTGTTGTTTTAAAGTTTAATTTAGTTTTTAAAATTGAATAATTTTTTTTTTGCAAATAATTATCAGTTTGTTACTAATATACAGTATAGTTTTACTAAATTTTGCACTATTATTTACTAGTTTGCTACTAATTTTCAATACTTTTACTAATATTTACTAGTTTGCACTAATTTTCAATACTTTTACTAATATTTACTAGTTTGCTACTAATTTCCAATACTTTTACTAATATTTACTAGTTTGCTACTAATTTCCAATATTTTTACGAATATTTACTTGTTTGATACTATAATATATGATACTAATATTTTATAGTTTTTTTCTCATACGTAGTAATTTATTGTTAATATTTAGTGTAATTTATTAATATTTAGTATAACTTGTTACTAATATTTTGTATAATTTATTACTAATATTTTGTATAATTTATTACTAATATTCAGTATAATTTATTACTAATATTTAGTATAATTTCTTATTAACATTTAGTAGTTTCTATCTAATATTTAAAAAAATATAACTAATAATAACTATAACTAATATAACTAATTAACTAGTTGGTAGCAATGTTAACTAATTTTCTACTAATATTTACTAAATTTTGCACTAATATTTACTAGTTTGTTACCAATAATGATTGGTTTTATTAATATTTACTAGTTGATACTAATGTTTACTAGTTATCTACTAATATTTAATAAGATATTTATTTATATGTATAGTAATTCATTGCTAATATTTAGTATAATTTGTTAATAATATTTAGCAGTTTCTTCCTTATATTTAAATAATTGTTATACTAATATTTACAAGTTGGTACTAATGTTAACTAAGCTGTTTCTAATATTTACTGGTTGATACTAATATTTAAATAATTTTTACTAATATTTAGTAGTTGGTACCAATGTTTGCTAATCTACTACTAATATTTACTAATTGGTACTAATGTTTACTAATGTTTACTAATCTGCTACTAATGTT